AACATTTGAAAGGTTCATTAAGGGGTATGAACTCACCTGAAATCGCGGAAATCGGGTAAATCGGGTAAATCGGGTAAAAGTGTCGATTGAGCGTTTGGTACCCAATAACCTCTTGAGCACCTCCTAGGATCCTAATGTCATATGAAATATGTATTTTACAAGAAGTTAATCATCTTATGCTTTTCATTATAGTATTTGGGCATTCTAGCATCGTTTTCGGGGTTTTAAGGCCTAGAAGGGGTTCCCGAGAGTGGTACGAAGTCATGAATGATTTACGGGAGGGTTCACGAGCTCACTCTTTTGGAGTTTATGGCCCAAAAGCCATCCTTTGGGAGTTTACGGCCGTAAACCCCCTAGGTTTGGCCGTAAACTCTAGTGGCACTCCAAAGTGTATGTTTAAGGTCTTATTTCACTTCCTTGATTTAGTGGTATGTGTCTTGGACTATTTTAAGGGATTAAACATCATAATTTGTGACATTTTTGGGGAGTTTACGGCCAAGACTTGTTCTTGGGCCGTAAACTCTTGTAAACCCTTCAAGATGTATGTTTTATTGGTACAACAAAGTCTCATACACCTTAGATAAATCCTAGAAGGCCATATAGTGAGTTTGGGACAATTTGGCATATATTTTTGGGGAGTTTACAGCCCAAGAACATCCTTGGCCGTAAACTCTTCATTTTGTATCCAAATGTGAAGTTAAATGGTACAACACACTTCCAAAGGCCTTAGATAAAATCCTTACATGCATTTGGGGGTTTTGGGACTTGTTTGACACAAAAACATGGGTGTTTACGGCCCAAGCTTAGCCTTGGCCGTAAACTCCTCTTTTTGCCATGAAATAATGTTGTTTGATGCATTTAAGCCTTCCTTGTTGTCAAATTTAAATTGCCAAACACCCTAGATGAGTTTTTGGGGCTTTAAACAAGTGTTTTTGGGGTGTTTGAGGTGTTTACGGCCTAAGCACATGCTTGGGCCGTAAACTCCTTTTTACATGTCTAATCCATGTGTTTTAGTGTCCAAACCCTTCTAGATACATGCCTTAATTAGTATACTAGCTTAACATGAGGAAAAACTTGATCTATGGCATGATTTTGGGGGTTTACGGCCTAAGGAGCCTCTTAGGCCGTAAACTCCTTTATGGTCCTTGATTCTCATGATTTTGGACTCTAAAAGCAGTATAGTATGATTAGATTAAGTTAGGGGATGAGTCCTTACGTTTGGAAGTCGGAAATTCGCGGATTTGGAGTCGATTTCGGGTCTAGATAGAGAAAGTAGTGAGAAAGAGAGGTGTAATTGTGGTAAAATAGTCCAATTGAAGTGTTCAAGTGTTTTTATATGTCTCGGGTATTGTACCCGATACACAGCTACTCGATGCTAAAGTTTAACGGGGTTAAAACTTTTTACCCGGGTGAAGTGGTTGAAAAGTAATATAACTTTATTTAGTTAAACGGGGTTAACATTTGCAAGTTATAATTACTCATGATAATACCGGAACATATAATTAACTAAATATTTATTTATTGACGACCCGAGCAATACCGAGAAATAACATATAATGACGCATTCCGTTAGTGAAAATAGGGTTTGTAACGGGAATAGATTTGGGGTTGTCATACATTTAATCAAAAGGATCGTCTTTTCAAGATTTTGAAACCAAAGGGACCATTTATGCACAAAAATTGTCATAACGACCAGGGTTGGTTAATTGTGTCAACCATAAGGACCATATATGTAATTTTGTCTATTCTTTATAAATAGAGTTTAGTTTGGGGTAATTTGCATGTTTGGTTATTAATATATTTTTTTAACTCGGAAAATCCATACTATTTGTTTTTGTTACACACTTGCTCTCTACTGTTTGTTTTTTGTTACGTGCTTAATCCCTGTCTTACCTAAAAATAACTATTATTTAAATAAGGAAAAATAATGCGGTATGTAAGGTAAGGTGAGAGGATAGAGTTGGGGTGTGTTTATTTAAATAAATTGAAAAATCAATGGTAAAATAGGTTTTTAGGTAAGATAGGACCAAACATGTAACAAAAACAAACAGTGAGGATCGTCCGAGTTAAAAAATAATAAGTTAGGGATCAAACACATAAATTACCCAAAATCATAGGGACCATTTGTGTAATCTACTCTTATAAATATCAGACAAAACTATAAATTTGGTCCATCTGGTGTTGCAAAAAATTGTGAATAAGATCCAGAAAGTTTCCGACCTATATGGAAGGTCCAAAATCAAGAATTCTCTATGGTTTTAGTCCTAAAATCAAGAAATTTTTGTGGTTTTGATTCTTAGCAAACCTAAAAGGATGATTTTGGCATTTTAATTTCCTTTTTTCATTTTTTATATCCCTTTAAGAATTTATTAATTAAAATTAAACAAATAAAAGAATTGGGGCCATTTGGTCGTTCTTCTCTCTCTCTCTCTCTCTCTCTCTCTCTCTCTCTTTCTCTCTCTCCGTCTCTCTCTCTCTCTCTCTCTCTCTCTCTCTCTCTTAATCAGAGAACCAACGACTAGAAGGATTAACTAGAGAAACATCACCACCTTGAAAACCCTTTCCAGAAGCCATCTGAGTGCTCTTCATCTTCATTTCCTTTGCACATTCAACAACTTAAAGTTGGCTTGATTTTACCATTGAATCCACCACAAGTTGTAATCAAGAAACTATCCAAATTTATGGAGGCAATGGGGAAGGTTGAAAGATGCATTTATCGTCGGTCTTAAAAACCCAGATACCCACCAAAATCCTCGTCTCCTTCTCCCCCTCATATCCCGTCTATCCATGGAGATATAATTTCTTTAGAAACATATACATAAATTACCGTGAATGAGAGAAAGGAATGCTTGATTTTTGTAGTGTTTTTAGGTTTTGATTTTGTTAAAGTTGGCTTTGGTTTCTAGGATATTAGATTTCACTTTGGTTACCTCTGTTTTTGGTTTCAAGTTGATTTCTCATTTGAGTAATTTCAATCAATTCAGAATATTTGTAAAAGAGTCATATATGGATTTTTGGGCATATCGGTATTCCATTCTTACTTTGTACTTGACTGTAAGGATTTGAGCTCAAATTACAAATGCCTAGAGGATTACACAACTGCTCATCCCTGAAAACCTGCAGTTGGGTGTGAATCGACAACGATTTGAAAGATACAATCTTGTGTAGGGGGTTGGCTATAAATGGACAACGATCCCAGATATATTGCTTTCTGCATGTTTTTTTATTTATCTAAACTTGATTTCGAAGAGAATCTTGGGGGTTTTTTTTCTCGATTGGGGTAAGATGTGAAAATTGTGTGTTTATTAATTAACTGTATATGGAGAGCAAGGATAAGAAACAAGACCACAAAAGAAGAAGGTGAAGTTGGGTCTAAACCTAATTAGGTTTTTAGTGTTCACAATCATCGAGAGGTGGAAAGTATTGAAGGATACACGCCAACGAAGAAAAAGTTCATCGGAAAGGGGTGAGATGCCCATTGATTGATGTTAATCTACATTGTGTATATGTTAAACTCACTTGTGACTTCTAGGAAAAGAATTATGTTCTTGTGATATCAAAAGGGGATACAATCTTGAAAGAATTGCTAGAGAGAGAGAGAGAGAGAGAGAGAGAGAGAGAGAGATTTTATTTTTTTAAAATTATTTAAACACCAAAGGAAATAAAAAAATAGAAAAAAAATAAAAATGGATATAACCATCTTTTCAATTTTTTCGGATCAAAATACAGAAAAATTGAATGTTATATATAAGGGATAATGATTTGATAGGGTAATATATTTTTTGAAATGTACACATTTAGTCCTTATTCTTTTTTTCTTGTAAAATAAACCCTTATACTTTATTAATATGTACACATTATGTCATTTTCACCGGATTCTACAGGTTTTGCTGACGTGGAAGGGTTTATTTTACAAAAAAAAAGACTAAGGACTAAATGTGTACATTTCAAAAAATATCTTACCCTATGAAGTCATTTTCCCTTTCTTTTATTTTGTTGAAATGAAATACTCAGGTGGCATCCACATATCTACAACAAAATTTTTCCAACTTTTATTCATCATGAAAAAGAGGGAGAACCCCAATCTCCGACGACTCCTTTGTGTGTTCCTACACATTACTGGTAGCAAGGATGAATGATGGCAAAAACAACAAGGTCGAAGGGGGAGGCAGGAGGAAGTAGAGACGGTAGTTGGTTGCGAGGAGCTACTCTGGTAGCCCCCTCGTCGATTCTTTCTTCTTTTTTTGGTAACATATCTCAAAGATGGAGGCAAAGAGAGACAGATAGGAGAAACACAACAGGTAAATGGTGTTTGGCTGTTGTTGTTCGACTGGAAGGAAGAGAGAGACGAGAAAGAGAAGGGTCGCCGCCCTTTTCTTGTTGCTGGAGGATCACCCACCTCCGGTGACTAAGCTAATTAATTGCTATTTAGCGCTACTTGTGCTTCCACATCAGCAAAACTGTAGAATCCGGTGAAAAGGACCTAATGTGTACATATTAATAAAGTATAAGAGTTTATTTTACAAAAAAAAGAATAATGACTAAATGTGTACATTTCAAAAAGTATCTTACCTATCAAGTCATTTTCCCTAAAAGAAAATTCATATATGACCGGTATACCGAGTATATCCGGTCACAAGGACTGCATTGTTACAAAAAATAAAGTATAGGGGTTTATTTGACAAGAAAAAAGGAACAAAAACTAAATATATAAATTTCAAAAAGTATATTACCCTATTAAATCATTATAAATAGATAGGAAACTTTTTACATGCTGTCCAAAATTTTTTTAGGGACCAATCTTAGTTTTGTCTACATCATCACACAAAACTCCAAGTATGTTGTACGGAAATACAACCGTGACTAGTGACCCACACTGGCGACTCAAAAGGTCCCTTTTGGTTTTAATTTGCCCTAGCAATTTGCACTAGCATGATTGTCGTCCCTCAAATATTTATACCATATCATATACAATCCATTCATACAGCGTAATTAGTTACATGGCGGAGACAGGCAGAGATTCAGCACCACCGCCACGGAGAGTTCCACCAATGATAACACTCCCACCGCGTTCTTCTTCCGATACCTTCCTCACCGGGATTAGCCCCGGCCCCATGACACTAGTCTCCAATTTCTTCTCCGATCACTACCCAGACACTGATATCCATTCTCTCTCTCAGCTTCTCGCCGGAGTCCTACCTTCCCCAGTGGCTGAAAACTCACCTGCACCTCCACTTTACAATGACTATTCATCTCTATTATCCCCGGAAGAATCACGAACCAGTCAAACATCAGACCCCTACGTCGACAACTCCTCCCAAATCCGATCACCGGAAACTGCTTCGGATTCTGAATCCGGTGACTCGAAACCCGAACGAGTGGTGGCTCTAGCTAAACCCGCTAGCGATGGGTATAACTGGAGGAAATACGGGCAGAAACAAGTGAAGGCAAGCGAGCTTCCTCGTAGCTATTACAGATGCACGCAAGTTAACTGCCCGGTGACCAAAAAGATCGGACATTTTCTTGATGGGAATATCAGCGAGATCATCTACAGTGGTCGGCATAATCATGAGCCACCGCAGCTTCATAAACCAGCGGTGGTTGCCGATGAACAAGCTTACGAACTAATGCCAAAAAGAAGGCAAGATTCTATCGTTTTAGAGTCTTTTTTCTTACGTATGATCACCAAAGTAAATGTAAAAGTTGAAAGTTTACTGATTGACGAGACTTTTTGTGCAGGAAGACTGAGGTGAAGTGTGTGGACCGGAGTAGCTCGTGTCGGGTGGTTGTCACCGAACCAAAGATTGTCGTGCAGACGAGAAGTGAAATCGATATATTAGATGATGGATTCAAGTGGCGAAAATATGGGCAGAAAGTGGTGAAAGGGAATATTTACCCCAGGTGATGATTTCAAAATATTACTTAATGAACTTAAATTTAATGTGATTATATTAAAATATTTGGATAATATGTAAGTAGATTGATTTTATAGAACATGTAGACTTTTTGTGTTTAGCTCTTGGGTCCATTTTTAATAAAGTTCCTAGGACCCATTGTACAAATCAAGTGGTTCAATTGGATATATAAAAGTGTTTGATGGTTATCATATGATATTAAATATTTCGAAATAAAGTTAGAATCTTACAACTTCAGTCTTGGATAACCTGCGGTTCAAAAAGTAAATTTGCTTATATATAACTTGTGACATGCAGGAGTTACTATAAATGCACCTACGTAGGATGCAAAGTTCGAAAGCATGTTGAGCGGGCTTTATCAGACCTTAAATCCGTTGTAACTACATATGAAGGGAGACATAAACACGACATTCCTGTGGTTGCTAAACCTTCAAGTAGCAACGAAATAAACTTCAAAGCCGAAATACCATTTTTAGTACAACTAAAAGAAGAGCAAATCATGATGTAAGCTTGACTTTAGACTTGTGCTTTTTTGAAAGGTGATTGATGATTTGAATTGGCCTTGCTTTCGGAGCTGGTCATGCATTATGGTATGGTGGAGGAGGTGATTTCGATCTAGGATTGTGAGCAATAAAAATTAGTAGGTGTTTGAATTTGGAAGAACAAACTTGGTTTTATGTTTTGCTTTTGATTATATCGAAATTTATGTGTAGTTATGTTTAATTTGTAGCACCCCATGTGGGATTAGGAATATACATAGTTTACGGAGTTTAATATGATTTGTCGACGCATTTATTTTTCTAGTGGCTTTTTATATTATTCATATATGCAAATATTATTCAATATGGTAATAGTTTATATTTTATAAATATTGACTCAATTAAACTATCATGGTCACTATTAAATACAAAAGGTATAAATATATATGTTGAATTTTCATGTATGTTTTCTTATGTTTACATGAACTTTTGATTTAAAGGCCAAAAATATAATATGTATAAAAAATTAGAGAACCCAGGGGAGGGGGGAGGGGGGGGAGGGGGGGGGGGGAGCAACAGTTAAATTTTATAGTTTTAGGTTCAATATGTAAAAAAATTTAATACTTATAGACTAGTCGTGACAAAAAAGGATGGGCTGTATGTATGAGGGAACTTTTAAAACAATCGGTCTACAGTGAAAACCCCACTTCAAAAGCCCACAAGAAAAGAAACCCCAATTAGATCCATACATGTGTACTTCCCTCTAGTCCATCCAAAAACTTAAGCATCATCTTGTCTAAGTATTGATCTACCATTTAACGGGTTAGTCAAAAAGCTCATATGAGCCTCTTTTTTGGCAGAAAATCTGGCTTGACTATATATGTCGAAAAGAACATCTATTACCAGATCGTATCGGTACTTGAAACCCAGGAGTTCTTTATAACGAACTACATGCTTAGCAAAGGAGTCTAATCATGCCTTGCAACAAATAGGGCATGTCTAATCAATCGAAAATAAAAGGACCAAAGGTGATACTTAAGGATTACAAGATACTCCACTGGTGACATATACTAGCCAAGACCATCAATAGAAATATCATAAGAAAATCTTGAGCATGTGGTACCCTTAGACACTCAAAAACTACTTTCAGCCTAATAGTCATGTCGAAGTCAACTTCCATATCTTCGATAATTTTACTGAAAATGTCACTCATGAATGAATGTTGGGCTTTTGGACGGGCAGTATCCTTATTAGTGAAACTGTTGAAGTCAATACCCAAAATTATATCACGAAGACAAGCCAAAGTACAAACATAATCAGAAGTTCATACCACATATGCCACTATCTCGGAAGATGTTATTGTAACAGCCACAATTAAGCTTGTAAGGCTACAAAAGCATAGGAGGGAGTTTTAACCGCTGAGTACAACTCCAAACCACCAACCTAATTGGTAATGAAACAAGTTGTCATTGAATGTCCCAAAAGAAAGGACCCCTACAAACCATAATGTATTCAATTGACCCACGTAAGCCTTTATCAAAGAACAAAGCCTCCTTACTCCATGTCAACGGGTTGGCATGTCCTCGGGCTAAAGGAAAGTTTGGCAATGCCCATGCAAGATCAAAGAAAAAGGAGCTCACTATTAAAGTCACATGGTTGTGGAAGAAGGCACATCAAATCAGCAGTGTTGGCAACTCTCTTCATGGCTAGCTCGCTAATAAAACTAGTATATCTACTAACAGCTTCCTCAAGAAGCTTCACCCCAAGGCTACGGAGCTTCTTAATACAGTTTAATGGATCATTCATAGTAATGTTATGACCCCAAGATCTATGAATATTGTTTTTAAGAAATTAGTTTTGTCATCCAAACAGGGGTTGAGGTGCAACTTGTTGCACGATTACCCACTGTGTAAAACTTTTATGATTTATGAAATATTAAAAATTATGACAATAAACTCAAAATATACATATTTTTATTATTATTATGGAGATTAGATACTATATATATATATATATATATATATATATATATATATATATATATATATATATATATATTTATATATATAGGTAAAGGTTCAAATGAGAACCAAAAAAGATTAAGAACCGTAAGAAACTCAAATTTTAGATGTTTATAAAGGGTTTAGGGTTTAGGATTACCCTAAACCCTTTATAAATATCTAAAGTTACAGGTTTTTACGGTTTTTAATTTTTTTATTCTCATTTGAACCTCTCCCTATATATATATATATATATATATATATATATATATATATATATATATATATATATATATATATATATATATATATATTATTTTATCACTATAAATCCATTTGGCTAATAAACACCACTTTTTGACACAAAAAACAAATTTTTCGGTATAAATTAGCTTTTTAATGTGCTATAATGAATTCACGTGTCTACATACATTATAATTTAGCCACGTAACAATAACTTGATGTGACTAATATGTATCTCTCATATTAAATAATAACCATCATAAAATAAGCCCACATATGAAACAGAAAACCTTTGCAAAGAGTGACATTTCTCCATTGTGTTTCGCCTATGGCTCGTTTTTCACATATATTATGTTAAATTGTAGCTGTAGATTTGGATATAGTTTGCTATGGTCATCGATAACCGAGTTAAAACGTTGTTAAAATTAACACTAAAAACTTTATATGCTTTTTGTAACTTTCTAATATATTAGACAAAACCATGCAATAAGGCCAAACCAAAGTTTTAAGGCTACCCGATTTAAAATACGTAGGATCCCTACGACATTCACTCAACGATCAACAAATACTACCAATACCCATCCATACATGACATATAATAGTATCATACAATCAACCAAAGACATACATAACAAAGATTATCCTAATCTACTAGTGTGTTTTTACCCTAACAATACGTATATCATATCGTACAAAGGATATGCAATGTTACGTGTAATATAGTAAGAAAACTCGTATAAGATCAACAATTTTTTTTTAATAGCAGCCTCTGCAGATGCAATAGCTAACAAAAACCACCTAAATAACAATAAAATATACTAAGCAAGATACATAAAGTTTGGATCTTTCAATATTTACAGAGCACAATGGGATTATAATAAAGCTTCTACTCTCAAGATCTAGCTTTTTGTGCACAACACTCCTTATTCCTTTCTTCAAAGAGTCAGCGAAAGCACATAAACATTAGCAAATAGGGCAAGGAGGCTAGGGTTTTTGAGATGGAAGATCTTTGAGGATGGATGCTAAGTGAAATGAATAACCCTAGAAGTTAATGCCTTTAAATAGGGCTTAATCCTAAGAATTAGGGTTTGTGCCTGCTAGCTAGGGTACACCATATCTCCTATAAGGTGCATCACGCCTATGTGCATTTCTTCTTAAGTTAACTTTTACTTGATTCTAACTTCCCTTCTCATATTCATCATTCATTGGTCTATTAAACAACTATCATGGAAATGAAAACATAATAAAAATATGGGTGTTACATCTCTCCCCCATTTGAACTAGATTGCATCCTCGAAATCCTTCTTGGTAACACTCCATACACTCCTTACACAATTCCTCTGTGGGTTCTCTAACGCACTCACCATTCCCCCTGAGTGGCCACTACATCTATCTTTTTCCATTTACCTTCACTTCATAACTCCGAACTACAAGCACTCTAAGCACATCAATCATAACCGAAATCATAAGGAGAACTTCCCAAGACCAGAAATCGATCGGTCTGAAACCTTTGAAACAACCACTCTAAGGCTGACGATCACCTTCCTCGCATAAATTTCGAACAATTCCTACAATAGGATCACTATTAAACCATTATGAATCAAGTACCTTGGTTAATCTAACTACAATACCACAAAGAAAACTATATGTTGTGGTGCAAACCTAATCCCACATCAATAAAAAAAGAAACCATATGCTAGCATATAAGGCAAGGGGTAATACCTTTTTATTACCAATTGGTTTTAGATGGAACCCCATTGTTCTTTTATGTTGAGCATGGTTGCGCTAGTAGTAATCGTATAAGAGCTACGGTTGTAACTTGGATAATATTATTAATGCAAGTGGCATAATTGTCACATCCCCATTTTCACGGCCAGAAAAGACCGATTTTGTTTATGCTTTATAAAAATCAGATTACCTATTTTAATAAAAATGTTGCGGAATTTGTTCCTAGTAAAAAATGATAAATACGTTATCAAATGATTTCCAAAGAAAAATATTTTTATTCATTTGAAAACATTTGGGATGTCATCGTCAATACATAAACATAAGCATAAACAGAACTTACATTCATTATTACTAGTGATTTATATCTCCTTAATCTCTCAGTATAATGTGACTTCATATCAACACCTGTGATATAAATAAACTGAGTGGGTCAGGTTGGGAAACCTAGTGAGTACATAGGGTTTTCAACCCATAATAATATAATTATTATGTTTAAACATCAAACAATCAACCCAATTACCCATCCCATTATCTTCTTTAAACTTAATGATCTACCCTAAGAATCAGCTATTCCTCATTCATTTATTCCTAAGGAATAGGTACGAAGTCCATCGTTACCAAGGTTTATAGATTACAAATGATGAACACGTAGTCCAAAACATCTGGTAAACACTTAGTTCAAAAATAACTAGTAAACACACTCAGTTCAAAAATACCTAGTGAACACACTCAGTTCAAAATACCTAGTGAACACACTCAGTTTAAAAATACATAGTGAACACACTCAGTTCAAAATACCTAGTGAACACACTCAGTTCAAAAATACCTAGTGAACACACTCAGTTCAAAATATCTAGTAAGCACCTAGTTCAAAAAAACCTACAGGTTACGAGCCTGCTAGCGTTCCACTTGACTGTCTAGTATAGTCCGTGGTCGTCATCTATACTCCGCTAGATGACTGGATCATCAATAGCATCTATATCAAGGCATCTCATTATTTTATTTTGTCACATAGCAACTAATACATCTACCCATGTTTTACCCAACAAATTTTGTAGATATATAATACATATACAATTTAAATAATTTAAAACATG